ACAGCAGAGAGCTGGATTGGAAGAGGAGCAGCTGGAACTTGAACTGGCACCCATATGGGATGCTGGCACTGCAGGCCAGGACTTTAACCCGCTGCGCCACAATGCCGGCCCCCATCACTCTCTTAAGATGTATCAAATGGAAACTAAATAAAGCAGTGTTAGATTTTTGTCCTCCTACCCAAATGTCACATGTCTGGTGTGTTCATCACGTGTAAGACGCCAGATCCAAGTGTCAGGTGTATGTAGTGTGATGGCTTTACCACTGTCCCTGCAGCTCAGGTCAAGGGGGCTGTGCCCAGCCCCCCTGGAGGCACCTTCTGCCCATCTCAGCCGGGACCCTCACCAGTACAGGGAAGTCTTTGTTGTATCCCCCTGGTGACCACAGGGGTGACTGGACTGCAGCTGCTGCTGCCTGGTGTCCCGAGAAAGGGTTGGACTGCACGCTGCCAGCCTGGACAAGGTGAAAACCCCAGCTCACTGTACATTTTCTACCAAGTGATGGACGGCTTTGGTCCCATGGTAAAGTCGGAAGTGTGGAGTCAGACTGTCCTGCAGTGGGGTCATCTGCAGCTCCACATGCTGTCATGTGTCCTGGTGGTTTTCAGTAAACACCAGCTGTGTGTTTGCAGGTGCGGGTGTAGGTGGTGGCAGGGTGTCCCTTGTCCTGTATCCTAGTGTTCCAGGGTGAATCTCTGCCATTCGCACATATCCCTTCCCTGTCTGTGGGCATTTCAGATCGTTCCTGGGACTTGGCTGTGAAGCTGTTTCTATGCTTGCGTGGTCTTCAAGCACTCATTGCTGCTACATGTGTGACTGTATGTGCCATTGCCAGGTCAAAGGTTAAATATAACATACACTGCAGCCCATCAAAAATCCCCAGAAAAATCCCAAATTTTACAGTGTTCCTTTCTTTATATGCCTGGTTTTTTTTTAAAAAAGGGATTTATTTGTTTTTAGTTATTTGAAGTACAGAGTGACAGAGAGTGAGGGAGAGATCTTCCATCCACTGGTTCACTCCCCAGTTGCCCACAGCTGCCGGTGCTGGGGCAGGCTGGAGCTAGGAGTCTGGAACTCTGTCTGAGTCTCCCGTGTGAGTGGCAGGGGCACTAGTACTTGGGCCATCATCTGCTGCCTTCCTGGGCATTTCTGCAGGAAGCTGGATCTGAAATGGAGCAGCCAGCATTTGGATATGCGATGCCAGTATCACAAGCTGTGACCCCACCCACTGTGCGTGCTGCCAGCCCTTCCTCTACCTTTACGAACACAGACTCACAATTCCCTTCTACGTCCTTCACAGGGTTTTCTGTTATTATATTCATGCTACAAGTCTCTTAGCCTCGTACTTTTTACCCAGCGTGTATGTGTGAGCTGGAAAAGCTCTTCTTTGACCATGCACCCTGAGGATCTTGATTTGGCCTTGATTTATGCTTGCAACCATCGCTAATGCACAGTCTGCCACAACAGCACTGCTGCTTTCCGCATCTGAACAGTTATCAAGCGTAAACAATAACACGGGACATGCTTCTTACGACGAGATGGGTGGGGTGATGGTGGTGATGCTTCTCAAACCGGACACACCAGATCCCTGCCAGGAGCCTCGTTGGGAAGAAGATCTGATTCCAAAGGCCTGGGCTGAGGCCTGAGATTCTGTGTTTTGGTTCTTTAGCTTGACTGGGGTGTCTGGCTGGCACACAGAAGGACTGCACTGTTAGCACAGGTATTTTGGTGACTTTGGGTACTTCTGTGCCTCGTGAGCCCCCTGGTGAGGCTGATGCACCTTCTGGGCCCTGCACTGCACTTTGAGCAGCAGGGGCTGGTGGTTTCCTTTGCTACAGGAAGATTGGCTCACATCCATTTTTTTTTTCTCAGCTGCTTGTCATTTTATTTATAACCATCGCCTACTACAAGGAAAACAAGTGTTTTTAAAGCAGCATTGCAACATTGTATTCCTGATAATTTATGCAAGCCAAACGATGAGTAAATAAATGATACGGGACTAAAACTCATCATGTTTTCTGCCATCAGTGGCCACTGGACTTAGGACTGGTCCCAGACCCTGATCTCGATTTGGGCCTGGACCTGGACTGTGATCTTGACTGAGGTTTGGATCTAGATGCTGCTTTTATCCTTTCTGTTTGCTCTCTTGAGCCAGATAACAGGTTTTGAAATTTGTTTTTTGTTTTTTTTTTTTAAAGATTTGTTTATGTATTTGAAGGTCAGGGTTACACAGAGAGAGAAGGAGAGGCAGAGGCAGAGGCAGAGAGAGAGAGAGAGAGAGATCCTACATCTGCTTGTTCACTCCTCAGTTGGCCACAACAGCTGGAGCTGCGCCAATCCAAAGCCAGGAGCCAGGAGCTTCTTCCAGGTCTTCCACACGGTGCAGGGGCCCAAGGACTTGGGCCTTCGTCTACTGCTTTCCCAAGCCATAGCAGAGAGCTGATTAGAGTGAGCAGCCGGACTCCATCGCCACCATATGGATGTCAGCACTGCAGACTGAGGCTTTACCCGCTACGCCACAGGGCCGGCCCCTTGTAATGTGTTTTAGAGGTGCTTCTGGCTTTGGTGTGTGATGCAGACCCAGGACATGATACAAGCTTTTCTTTCTTGGGCTGGGTCTTAGACTGTGACCCTGAATTGGGTTTAGATCTTGAGAAAGATCAGTTTTGGTAACACCCACATTTTTAATTGTCGTGTTGGTTGGCATCTTGACATTTTGGGAGCACTGCACTGTGGTCCTATTCTGGACCAGTGAAAACTTGATCTCCCTCCCATGGAGGGAACAGGGTGTGGTGCCGAGGAGGGTGAGGAGACAAGGGGTGGTCTCTGGGCAGCAGTTGCCTCCCCATACCCCCTCTGCCTGCAGACCCCTCGGGAGGGTCTTGTACACCCACAGTGAGCCTGCCCCAGTTTGTAGAGATCTCCTTGGACACTGGCTGCTCTTTCTGACAGGTATGCGGTTGGGCAGGTGAGAGCTGACATCACTGTGGGAGAGCGGCTTGGAGAGCCACTGTGGGCTCAATCCTGAGAAGGAAAGTTTGGGGCTGGGTGGGGGAGGCCCTGAATTCCAGGCTAAGGGGTTGGACGTGTTCCCGAGCACAGGGGCTGCAGGTGTACCTGAGTAGGTGGCCGGCGGAGCTGAGTAGGGCAGCTTGTGGGGTGGTCAGGAGGGGTCAGGGTGTGGGGACGGTGAGGGGGACAGTGTTACAGGCTTGAAAGCGAGGCTAGCTGTGTGCATCAGGATTCAGCCGTGTTTTCCACACCAGCTCCCAGTCCTGGGGCTTGTGCCCTGCTGTGCAGACCTGGCTTGGTCGTCAGTGTTACCTGAAGTGGCACCTGCGACGTTTGTTTATGGGGAGAACACACATGTGGCTTAAGGCCTCACCACTTCCCTACTGGCCTCCCAGCCCCACCTGTGTAGGGGGAATTGTGTCTTCTGCCCCTTCCACCGCCTATTTGCCCTTTGCTGATTGACAGAGCAGCTTGGGCTGAGGCCTGTGTTAATGAAATGACACCCTGACAAGAGGGACTCCATTTTAGAGCACTCAAGAGTCCATCTTGGGAAAGCACCCCCTACTGTGACACCTGGTCTGAAACTATGATCGGAAACTTACAGAGCAGGGGCTGGCGCCACGGCGCAGTAGGTTAATCCTCCGCCTGTGGCGCCGGCATCCCATATAGGCCCCGGGTTCTAGTCCCGGCTGCTCCTCTTCCAGTCCAGCTCTCTGCTGTGGCCTGGGAGAGCAGTGGAGGATGGCCCAAGTCCTTGGACCCTGGCACCCACATGGGAGACTAGGAAGAGGCACTTGGCTCCTGGCTTTGGATCGGCACAGCTCCGACTGTTGCGGCCATTTGGGGAGTGACCCAAGTCTCTCCTTCTCACTGTCTGTAACTCTACCTCTCAAATAAATCAATAAAAAAACTAAAAAAAAAAAAGAAGAAGAAGAAAGCTTACACAGTAGCAATAACTGCATCCTACTTGTCGGGGCATAGAAATTCCCTAGTGTGATCGCTCAAGCTTAAAACAGAGGCTGCGCTTGGATTAATGTCAAGATTATAACTGAAATTGTTAAGATTGCAGTTGGTGTTGTCAAGAGTGTAATTGGTGTTAGTTTCGCATAGGCCTTAGGTCAGCTTGACCCTAGTAACCATGTATTCCACACCCCCATCCTCGCAACCATGTATTCCCTCTCCTGTCCTGTGGTTTCTGCTTTTATAAACCCTGTTGCTCTGAGTTTCGGGGTCAAGAGTTCTTTAGGGCAGGAGCCCACCCTCCACCGCCAGCAATGAAGGACCGGCAGATTTGATCAATGTGTGGCGCTCCTCTGTTTGCATCGCTCAGGTACAGCAGTGAGCAGCAGCGTGTAATTAGCATTTTACACGTTACCTGTGGTCGTTGAGGGGATTTCATCTGTCCCAGGGTGCAGGTGGTGCTAGCTGCCCGCTGCATTGCAGTGACGGGAGGGTTCACCTTCCACGGTGCACTGCAGTAAGAAAAGCCAGTCAGTCTACCCGATCGTGTGGAAGAGAGAGCACTGGGGCTGGCACGTGGGCACGGAGGAGACTGGTGGCACCAGTCTGTGGCTGGAGTTTGGGAAACATGTGGTTAGGACTGGGGCTGGGGAAACATTTCTGCCAAGGGCCATGTGGATATTCATAACGTCCTTCATGGGTCATATACAATTATCAGCTTAAAAATGAGCCTGGTATGGGTTTATTGAATTTCTAGTCCCGCCTGTGGATGCCTTGGCAGAGCCAGACCCAAAGATCTCGTGGGCCCCATATGGCCTGCGGGCTGGACATTGCCCCCCTTCCCCCGTGGTTGAGTGGCAAAGACAGGCACGTGCCGAGTCTGTGCCAAGGCTCTGTCCAGCAAGGCTTTGGTGTGTGTGTGTAGGGGGGTGCTGCTTGAATTGCAGTGCCCGGCTGTGGCCCCAAGTGTGCTGGGGCCCCCACCGCCGTCCCTGCCAGCAGCCTAACGTGCTCTCTGCGTCTGCCCACAGAGATCCGCACGCAGCTGGTGGAGCAGTTCAAATGCCTGGAGCAGCAGTCGGAGTCGCGGCTGCAGCTGCTGCAGGACCTCCAGGAGTTTTTCCGCAGGAAAGCCGAGATCGAGCTGGAGTACTCCCGCAGCCTGGAGAAGCTGGCCGAGCGCTTCTCCTCCAAGATCCGCAGCTCCCGGGAGCACCAGTTCAAGTGAGAAGTGGCTGGGGTGGGACGGTGGGAGGCAGGGCGGGGTGGGGGGGAGCAGGAAGGAGCTGCGCCCAGGGCCCTGGGTCTCAGCCTCCCGGACTCCCGGTGAGCACAGAAGCAGTTCCCACACAGCAGGCAGGGCCTGAGCTGGTAGCCCCAGAAAAGTGCTTGTGGGCACACACAAGGTGCACGGTCAGTCGTGTGGCTCTTAGTATTGTGCCCACTGCTGCGTGCTGACTGGACCCAGGGCGTCAGCCTGCCCGCAGCCCGTTTCCTGCAGCGTGGGTGCTGTGGGGCTCCCTCTCCGAGGAGCCGAAGCCTGGAGCGTCCTCTTCCTCGTGTGCTGGAGGGCCCCGGCTGGGCTCCTTCGTCCCCTTATTAATTATTTACTGGGCACGAGCTCCCTGTCCTGAGTTCTCATGCCCCTCGCGTGCGCCGAGTTCTCTGAGGCTCAGTGCGTGTAGCATCGACGTGCAGGCGCTGCCTCAGCTGCAGAAGCTTCCTGCGCAGGCAGGAGAGCTCCTGTGCCTGTGTTCACCCCAGCCAGCCTGTGCGTCCCACAGCGGGCCCCTCCCCGCCTCCCCACGTCAGCTCTCATGCAGACGCCCCTGCACCCCTGAGCCCAGGGACTTGCTCCTTCTCTCCTCTTCCGATCCCCTCTCCTCGGGTCCAATCCTTCCCCCTCTGCACCTGCTTTCTTTAAAATGCACATAACCCTGACCACCTGTGAAATGTGTGCATCTATTGCCTTCTCCAACCATCAAGTTCTTATATTGAAACTCCATGTCCTTTAAATTCTAACTCTGCCTCCTCCTTCCCCTGGGCCCTGGCATTCACCCTACTTTGCATCCCTGGGCCTTGGCCAGGCTTGTACCTCGTGTAAGTGGGGTTGTGCAGTTACGCAGCCCTGTGGTGCCTGGACTGAACTGGGCAGACACTGGGAGGGCGCTCAGTCTGGAACTCTAAAGACGGTGGCTCCGTCACTGCTGCCCCCTGTTTTAGCAGGAAGCTGGGGTCAGGTGTAGGAGGTAGGTTTTGAGTGCAGGAATTCTGATTTGGGATGCGGACATCTTTTTTTTAAAAGATTTATTTACTTACTTGAGAGGTAGAGTTATAGACAGGGAGGGGGAGAGACAGAGAAAGGTCTTCCATCTGCTTTTTTTTTTTTTTTCCCACTTCCTAAATAGCTGCAATGGCTGGAGCTGGACTGATCCAAAGCCAGGAACCAGGAGCTTCTTCTGGGTCCCGCATGTGGGTTCAGGGACCCAAGGACTTGGGCCATCTTCTACTGCTTTCTCAGGCCATAGCAGAGCTGGATCAGAAGAGTAGCAGCCAGGATATGGACTGGCGCCCGTATGGGATGCCAGTGCCACAGGAGGAGGCTTAATGTACCACACACCACAGCGCCAGGCCCGGGATGCAGGCATCTTAAATGACACCTCTTTAAAATTTTTTAAAAAAGATTTATGTTATTTATTTGAAAGAGTTACAGAGAGAGAGGTACAGCCAGAGAGAGAGAGAGAGAGAGAGAGAGGTCTTCCATTCCATTGGTTCACTCCCCAATGACCACAATGGCCAGAGCTGAGCTGATCAGAAGCCAGGAGCCAGGGGCTTCCTCTGGATCTCACATGAGGCTTCCTCCAGGTCTCCCACATGGGTGCAGGGGCTCAAGAACTTGGGCCATCCTCCACTGTTTTCCTAAGCCATAGCAGAGCTGGATCAGAAGAGGAGCAGCTGGGACTCAAACCGGCGCCTGTATGGAATGCTGGCACTGCAGGCTGGGGCTTTAACCCGCTGCGCTGCAGCGTCGGCCCCACCTGACATCTTAACCTCTAGGCTAAATGCCTGCCCCAGAATTTCATCGCATTTTAGGGCTGAGTATCATCCCACTGCAGGGGGAGACCACATCAGCTACTGAGGGGTGCTCTCCTTCGTGTTGCTCCCTGCGGTTTTGCATTCACTGTGGATGGGGAGCTCATCTCCTCTAAACTCCCCCAAACCTCAGTGGTCTGGGCCACAGGACTGAGCGCTGCCTCGGAGTGCCGTCCTCCCTTGGCCCTCAGGGTAGGACATTGCTACTGCAATGGCAACACTCGCAGTCCCCTCCGTTCAAACCTGGGCCGCAGGGGAGGCCTGTCCTTGCAGTATCATCTCGGGCACCTTGCATCGTCTCCTGGGTCTGATGTGTGTTTGGGGGGAATTTGGGCCTTTTCAAACAATGAAGGCAAAATGCTCGTTCTGCCCAGTTTAGAAAATACAGAGAGGTCAGCAGCATGTTGCTGCTCGCTCCCCCACCTTCCCCGCCTTGGAAGCACCCCTGGCTACCTTTTGTACCTTTCCTTACCTGTCTTTTAGACACAGCAACAGCGGGGAGCAAGTGTTGAGTGTGTTAAGTGGGCACTGACTTTGTGCCAGGCAGGTGTCACTGCCTCGTCATAAAGGTGGGGGCAGAGCTCCAAGGAAGAGGCTCGGCCGAGTCTGTGGACCGGGGACTGGGAAGACGCAGATGGAAGCTGCCGCTCCTCTCTGCCCTGACTTGGGCTGAGAAAGGTGCTGGGTGCAGCCTGAGGGCAGCTGCTGTGGGGGCTCGGGCACCCTGAGACACAGCCACAGGCGCTTTCATGGGGACCCAGGGCCCTGGCTGAGCCGTGTGCAGAACTGTCGGGGACAGAGATGTGCAGAGGGCAGGGCCTCATTGCCTGGCCCCTGCCGTCCTCCTGGCTGGCGTCCGTATTGACACTGGGGCGGAGGGGAGGGTGGGGACTCCCCTGTTTGCTCATGTGTCCTATGATGAGCGTGGCCAGCTTGGGGCTTCATTAACTGAGCCTGGCAGATGGAACGGGAGCCCAGGTGGCGCAGTAGGGCCACGCAGGCTGCTTATCACACTGTGCCGGTCTAATGAGAGTGTCCCCCAGGCTGGAGCAGCTGGGGCGGGCCCTGTGTGTGATGCTGATGTGATGGCCCTGAGCGCAGGGCAGCAGAGAGTCTCTGTGGGTGGCCTGGATGCGCTCTTTGAGCTCAGGATGTGGACTGACCTGGGGCAGCCTCTGGTCTGTGCTGTGTTCTGGGGCTGCCACCCTGGCTGTGTGGGAAGCCCGGTCCTACTGTCTACGTCTGAGACTCCGCCTCAGTACGGGCTCTCAGGAACTGCGGGGAGGGCCAGCTCTTGTCCTTGTCTGCTCGCTACTGGGAGCCCCTGCCTGCTAGAGCTGGGCTGTCTGTGAATGAGGGGGCGCGAGGGAAGAGGAAGAGGAGGGACTTGCTCTATATAAAGTTCACCCTGGAGGAGGGATTTGGTCAGAAAGGGAAGCCACTTGCCCAAGATGTCACAGAAAATTAGGTGCAGAACTGAGCTGGACACAGGAGCCAGTGTCCTCCATGTCCAGTGCTTGCCCCTCAGCCCTGTCCCTCTACAGTCCAGCTGTCCACTTCTCACCTGGGCAGGTGAAGCAGCCCCAGCTGCCTAGGCACTGCTGACTTACCTGGGCAGAGTTCCACAGGGCATACGAGTCAAAGGCAGGTGGCTCTGGGGGCCTCCCTGGGCAGGTGGCACCCTCTAGAGCAGTGAGAGGGGTCATCGCAAAGTCCACGGAGAAGGCCCTGGGTCTCCGAGTTCCCTCGACTTAGACTGTGGGGAGTGCTGTGGCTTTGCGGCAGGCTTCTTTGCTAGCCTTGTCGGTCTTTGTCCTGGCTGCTCCAACGTCCTCACCAGCTCACCCCGCATCCTGGAGATAACACGGGGCACAGTCAGGGAGCCGGGCACCGGAAAAGCCGAGCTGCTGCTTTTGCCAAGGATGTGGTGAGCTTGAAAATCCCGGGTTCCTGCCTTCCAGCCCAGCCATCCAGGGAGCCACAGGGTCCTTCAGTCCTTCGGGTGCTTGAAATGCGTGGAGGGAGGGACTCTTGTTGTCCAGCCCGTGCATGGTGTGGCAGACACAAAGATCAGTGAGATGCAGGCCTAGTTCTCAGCTCGTGGTGTTCCCATGTCACTTCCTCTGGAGACCTCCCTCAGCTCTGGGCTGGCGCCTTGCTCTGTGTGTCTAATCCTCACGCACTGAGGTGTTTGCTTCTTCAGTCAGTATTTATTTAAAAGACAGAGTTACAGACACACACACACACACAGGGGGAGACACAGAGAGGGAGGGAGGAAACTTCAGTCTGCCGTCCACTCCCTCAAATGGCTGCGACAGCCAGGGCTGGGCCAGGCTGAAGCCGGGAGCCTGGAGCTCCGTCTGGGTCTCCTGTGTGGGTGGCTGCTACCTGCTGCTTTCAGCAGTGAGCGGAGTCAGATGCGGAGCAGCCAGGACTCAGACTGGAGCTCCAATACGGGATGCTGGTGTGGCAGGTGGTGGCTTACCCAGTGCAGCCCGCGGTGGCCCCTAAGCCTGCATGTGTTGAATGTCTGCTGTGTGCCAGACCCTGGGTTTGCTGCGGTGAACAGGAAGGAGAGACTTGGTTCCCGCCGAGCTAGGCTTTTCCATCGAGTGGAGGAGAGAGCATATCTGAGGGCACTTCGGAAAGTTCTGGAACACAGCGTGAAAAGTTTATTTTGGTGCATGACAACTTGGACAGCCACATGCACTTTTTTCATGGTGTGCGTTTTCCGTGGATTCTTGGAAGACCCCTCCCAACAGGAAGACCAGCTGTGACCAGGTGGTTGCTTTGATGGAAATGAGCACAACATCCCACAGCGTGGGATTTCCCGGGTCAGGGTTTGCACAGGGTTCAGGGACTGGGGTCGCTCGGTGCTGGTCACTGGTGGCTGGCGTGGAGGGCCGGGGCTGGCTTTCCCTGTGTGCCCGGCGCTGTGTGGGGGTTGACAGAAGCCTGGGCTGAGCGGGGCCGGCTTTCTGTCCGTGTTGTGTCAGGGCCTCTCCCTCAACCCCCAGACACCTGACACCGGAGCTCAGGACTCCAGGAGAGCCGGGTGGCAGGTGCCATCCCCATAAATGCAAGGCCTGAATCGGCACAGCCTCCTTGCCCCGAAGCTCTAAGGGCCGAAC